TAATAACTTGGAGGAATAGACAACAGAATTCCTGTTTTTTCGGCCCACTAGAGCCCACATAGATCTCTTCTCCCCAGTTCAAAATTTAAATTAAGAATCTAAACGTAGGTCAAAATTAAATCCAAACAACTTTAAGAGCCCAAAAAGTCAACAACGAATTGGACTGAGATGGGCTTCTTGGGGTGAGCTTAAGGAAATGAGCTTCAACCTCAAAATTTTATTGGGCTAATTGATATTGCTTCCTTTCCTAGTCTTTTAATTTTATGGTGGTAGTGAGTCTGTTTCTTCGGGCAACAATTTGGTCCAGGCTCCATTAGGGGTGTTTGACTGTTTTCAGATGGGCAAATTGAAGATTTCAGGGTTTTTATTTAACAACTTTGCGAGGAATTATTTTGTTGAAGCTTCTCAATCCCTCGTTCTTCTCCTCACTATTTATTGGTTTTATATTAGCAGAAATTTTAGTGAGGATTCTCGGAGTTTCTCTATTTCCCTGGTTTTTGTTTTGTTTTGTCTTTTTTTTTGGTATGTAAAAGTCGAATTTGGGTTAGATGCAATTTGATCTAAAGTGCTTCTCACTTTTTTGAAAGTCTTCAATTTTTTAAAAGGCTAAAAGTTCAATTCTATAAATTTTAGGATAGGACGCAAAAGTGAGATTTATTTGTGAGTAATTTTCATTTTATATGTTAAGTTTAAAATATAATTTTTAAAATTAATTTTTAAATATATCAATATAATGTGAGGGGTGCCTTTAAAATTACTAAAAAAATAGTCTTAAAATAAAAAAAATTAATTCCAAAATACTCTAATATAAAATTACAAAACAAAAAAAAAATTTAGAATAGGGATTTTTGTTTTTTTTTAATTAAATTCTTTTTATTAATTTTAAAAAATTTTATAATCATTTTTTTAATTTTTTGTTCAAAATGTCATCGGAGACACTATCTTAATTTAATAAATAACATTTTGCAATATAATACACTTTTGTTGTAAAATAAAGAAAGAGTTATTTAGAAGAAAAAGAAAAATTAAAGAGACAAAGTGAGACAATACAAAAATATATTATATTTCCATTCTTCTTTTCTTTATTTGTTCTTCATACATTTACAAGAGTATGAACCTTGTATATAGTGGCAAAAACACCAATTAAATGAGAGGTTATAAGGATTAATCTCCTACTAATTGAGGGGTTACAAAGAGTCCCATTATCACTATCTTAATGCATGGCATTATGAGAGTGTTAATCACTATTGTAATTGCATAGAGGTACTAAAAGTTACACCATTACTTAGTGTATAAATACCATGGAAAGTAGAGACCTGAAATGATGAAAAAGGTGAAACATCTATAATAAATTGATTCATGAAACTCCCCCTTGGATGTCCACATTTTATTGTACACTTGTTAAACTGCCTCATTAAAAACCTTACCAAGAAAAACCTAGTTGGCAAAGGGAAAAAGAGTGTAGTGTGCATAAAACTCCCCTCGAATTCAATGTATATTCATAATCAGATAATTATGCCAATCTAGTATCTTAACTACTCAAAGTTCTAAAAGCCAATAATTTTGTAAAGAGAAATTGTTGGCTTCTTACTTGAATAAATTTAATAGACACTATTTTATTATATATTTATAATACTGGACCAAAAACATCATGTAATTATTGTGATTTAAATTCTACTTCAATCGCCTCCTTTCATATTGACCAATCATTTCTTCATTAACAATTTTTAATGAATTTGATCCAAGATCCTTATTTTCATTGACAATATCCATCAATATTGCATATGTAAGAATTTCTTATCAATAACGATTTCATTTCAATTCCATCCTCTTTTTAAGAAAACTATAATTTATAGAGATCTTACCATTATCCATAATTTCAATATTCTCATTGTTTTAGGTACCTAAACCCTTTCTTAGGATTATTTCCTCAAGAACTCTTTAAGAGTTTTATGATTTCAACAATGCTATCGTTCTGCTTATATGTTCTCTTCATTTATGATTTTTATGCTTAGAACATTCATTCTAACATGCTTCTAGCATATACTCATTTGCTAATATTTTAAAAACTTTTTAAACAGAAATATCAATATAAGCAAGAGTACTTAAAGGTTGAATATATTATTTATTACTTTCATTTTGTCAATAGATGCATCCATCAATTAATGTATAGAATTTTGGAATTATGATTCATATCAATTTATTCGAGGATCTTGGAAGATGCAGCAAGTTATCTATTAGCTCCCCAAGATATATTTCTCTCCCCTTGATGCTAGAAACATAATTCCTTTAGATTGACAAGCACCAAGTTTTGTTATAAAAAGATTCACAGTCAATCCATATAAACTTCTAGCCTTCTTTGGGATTATCAAGCTAGATATACTCTAAATGCAATATTTCATATTGCTTAAAGGACTATTTTGTCACTTTCATATTTAAGCATATATTAATGCCATAATATATCAAAATATATTTCAAATAATTGAGCATAGGCTTATATGTCTCCTTAAATCCAATATAGCAATGAAGGAGATTGTATTTCAATTGTATTTGTAAAAGGCTTAGTAATCATGTTCTCAAGGGATGCAACACATGAAAAATCACTTAATAGCCAAATTACTTAGGTCCAAATCATTCTAGGATCAACCTTCTAGTTCGCTCTAATGTTTGATCCTATTAAATTTATGCATGCAATTCAAAAGAGAAAGCTTCTCAAATATGTGCCTTTTGGCCATATAAGAGAGGTGATATGGGGCATTCTGTACTATTCTCATTCACGGTTTCAATATGATAACC